GACATTGTCCGCTAAATAAGTTAGCAAAAGGGCTTAACTGAGTTATATGAGAATAAACCCATTTGCACGTGAGTCGCTATAATAGCTCCCCCCTGCAAACAAAGATATATGGAAAATGTCTGTGTTTGCACAAAAAAAATAGTAGACTGAATAGGGTAGTTGCAATTGTTTGAAAAAAAAGGCTTATACAAAATTAAGATGAAGTTAGTGTGTGCTGTACATTTGGTTTGTGCCCGTCCGTGAGATTACATAAAATAACAGCTAGAAGTAAGTGAGGTTTTTGAGTATTTTGAACTAGAGAATCAAATTAGACGTAACCGTTCTCTTTCAAATGGGTTCTTTTGCTAAGAATCTGTATCGGGAACTGTAGTTAACGAGCGATTCAGTCTCGAGTATTTTGCGGGTGAAATCTCGCTGTATTTCTCCCACCTTTATTATACAAGTTAAACGTAAGTTGAACAATAAGAACGAGCAATATTCAACGATAAGTGTTACACCAGCTTTAAACAGAATGATTTTAGATACATTGTGATAGAAATAACGGAAAATGAAGTCAAGTAATATCTGCATTTGAGATGCTTTGACTGAGATGTGTTCAGAGAAATTAGAACTGTGTGAATAATGTACCCCTAGATCAGTTACTGATGCCAGTCTGGGAAGTGTGTTGTTGCTTAGTGTTAGTTTTTTCAAGAGACGTGTCACCTATACATAGCCAGCCACATTTCTCTGTGTTGAGCTCTAACCTTCAGCGCCTGCACCAGTCGTCTACCATATTGAGTTCATGTTGGATTGTTTGCAGAGCACTATGTACATTGCAAATATCAGTTTTATGGAGTACATTTATGTCATCAGCGTAGAGGTATGCCTTACCTGCGCTAAATCGCTTGCATATAATATTGATGTATGCTATAAAAAGCACCACTGGTTATTGGTCAAGGTGTATATGTAGAGTCAATCGTGGCTATTTGGTATCTGTTCGTAAGAAGAGACTTGATCCATTGCAAAAAGTAGGTTCATAATTCCGACTGAATTGAGTCTGCCGGTCCGAAGATTATGAGGTGCTTCATCAAAGGCTATCTTAATATAGAAATATAGTATAACCACTAGTTTCTTCTGGTCACGCATGCAAGTAACCTCTTTAAAGAAGTTTCTCAGACATGTACTGCACGACCTTGTTCTAATGAAGCCGTGTTGTGACGGGTCTATCAGATCTTCCTTCAGTAAGAGATCAGATAGTTGATTTTGTATCACTTTTCCATTATTGTGAATGTGAATGTAAACCGTCATTGAAACTGTATGCGAGCATAAATGGTTTTTGCCGTCTATGAAATGAATGATAAGTAATTATTGAGACGGATGCAGTAAAAATGACGTAATCAAATTCATAAACAGGTTACGTAGAATCAAAATGAGGAATTAAAGTGTTGAAAAATTGCAGTTGCATAAGTTTTGTAAAGGAAGGAACAGAAAGGATTAGAAACATATAATCATATTTTAATACAAGGTAAGGGTAAATTCAGAGAGCATATGAACACGTTCAGAGTACAAACATTGAATTTACTGATGTACATTCGTATGGAATCTACTGTATATAAGAGTCAAAGTCTGAAGTCTCAGGGTAGATTCAGTTGGCTTTCGCCGATAATTTCAAACATTAGAATTTCCTCTCATGTGTTAACCAGTTTTGACTCGATGTGTGGAGATAGAACTCTTACCACTTTGCTTTGTCCCTAGCTCAACCTAGAGAGTAATGTTTAAAAATACGATAGTGCGTTTGCTAGTTATGTACTAAATACAAGTTGTTGAGTGGTTCAGTTCTAATTATCTGTTTGTTACATAGTATATTTGTTGGACAATATATTGTGGAGTAATCATATGTTTGCTTGGATGCATAAACCCTGGTGTTGTGAAGTATTTTACATTGTCTGGGGACGCCTGCCTATATACTATGCTGTGCAATACTTTCGGTACAATTCATAAGCGCATATTCCACAAACCTTGTTAGTCACAAACCATCAAAATGTCTTCTTAACTTTCCACCTCACATTTGCTCTACCTGATTGTCCGTAATCACCGTAGTGTGATAAGCCAACAACAACACTAACCATAGCAGTTGGCACATTTGAAGCAATTAGGAAGTAAACGTACTACCTAAATTTCTTTTTACTTGTCTAAATACGTATATATGTATGCTTGTCATTTTTCATGCTATATGCATGTGTGTGTGTCTGTTTCTCTACCGGCCGTGATGTACATATTGTCTTCATTGATGTAGCCTTCTTTTGCGTGATGATGATATTGTTCTACTCATTGTCAATTACTTTGTCGCACCAACCATCCCATCACAACTGTCATGATACACTATTATTCTTTGGTAAACAAAGATGTATGTAGTGGTTATCCAGATGACGAGTCACAAACGGGGAAAATGCGCATCATGGAATCCATTACTAGTCACCAGCCATCTTTCCTTATAAAGATTGAGTAATATTGCGTGAAAACTAGATGAGGACAGACGAACGTATTATATTCGGAATTCGAAATTAGGCAGTCTTGAAGTACAAAGGTATCATTGATTTATACAAATGTCATGGACCTGTAAATCGTATGCATTGAAGAATAAGATTTGAAGAATTGAGAATTCTGTCTGATTCATCACATTGAATATAAAATAAAATCAAGTTCTTTTATTTATGTAATATCCAATAAAATGTTCAAAGTAATATTGATTACTTCTTCAATCTTAGTATAGGTAACGTGTTTGTCTAATGAACAAACATACTTCTGTTGACCTCCTTTGTTTATAGAATCAGCTATTATTGTACTTTGTTATCATTGATCACCTTAGTCTATCTCATTAATCAAATAATATGGTATTCTCTATTCTGTGTCGTGGGTGAAACGTCAATATTAGAATAACAAAACATCGCTTTTTAATAATATGTTGTTTATTTGGCTGATAATACAAAGTTCAAATATGAGTGAATTCCTCATTTTACAAATTACAACTACTTTTCTAAAATGAAACTGAAGTGAAAACAAATCTTCTGCTTGTCAATTCATAGATGGTCTTGCTACAACTATGAATAAACACTTCAGTTGTATTGTTCAACTAGCTTCATGTTTTAGGACAAGGATAAGTCTTTTTTGTGGTTCCTGTTTTGTCACACTTCTGATAGTTTTACATACACTGGATGAGTTGCATAGCATAAAAGATGAAGTGTATCTCTCCGGTGATTTGAAATTAAACTACTACGGTGAATAAGACAATGCTTGAATCCATGTATCAATCTGGGCTAGACCACCATTAAAAACATGGAAGCACCAGACGGCCGTTTAGTATAATACTCATTAATCCCAATATTAAAATTACTGCAATCTCAACGGATATCCACTCTGACAATATTATAATGCTGTATAAAGTTTTGTAAAATGAAAGGTCTGATATATACTCCATCATTCGATGTCATTATTAACGCTTACGCTCCATTTAGAGAATATCTGAATGATGTTCAAAACCTTCTATAACTTCGTGAATTTTCTGGTATGTAAATTTTAATTTGGTAATTTGAAAGATACTTCATTTCAATGAACGTACAAATTATTGGAGATGTTAGATGCAAACTTAGGTGTGGTTAGATACGCACCTTCGCCCGGATGGAAGCAAAACAAAGTGATTTGGTAAAATGACAAATCTGAAACGCATTATAAATTTAAGTGTACCTTATTATCCAAACAAATATGACCACCCAGCTATTCAGGCAATAATTGTTCGACGAATCATGTCTAAATTACAATAAGTAAGGAAGTTGATAAAGGATGCGAGAAAATTACCAATCGCAACAAATCAATGTTATTCCATCTAGGCTGACTAGATCACGCATAGATTCGTTCAAAAGATACTACTTGGTCGCATGATAACACAGAGTGTTTCCAATTCTGGAATTGTGCGTCAATTCGCCATCAAAAATGTACAATTCTAGTTCATGCAAACAACACAATCGAATGGAGGAACAAACCAATGCAAAACAATATGGCTGTTGCCAAGACTTAATATCAAGTAAAGACAACATAAATGCAGTTCAGGAAGAGACACAAGAACTTAGTAAAGGCGTATGAAAACTAAAAACTATATGACAAGACAAATATGACTAACTCAAAGGGAATCAAAAAGAATGACGAAATATACAACTAAAAGAACAACAATAGAAACAAACTACAAATGTGTACATGGAGGGATGTTCACACCCACACAACACCTTCAAAATGGATCATACAGGAGGTATTATTCCATTCAAAACATCAGTGACAAATGTTGTGTGAACGAGTTATTTTTTTTAAGATCAACGTTAGATAAAGAGTTAAGAGCAAAAGTAATCAGATTAAAAACGTTTAATCAATCTGAAGGGATGGAAACTATGATACTTTACAAAACTAGTTATTTCACACTAGACTAGTTTCTCACAAATCCATGAAAATAGAACCGATTGCTAGTCACGTTTTGTTTAATAATGTAATCAATCATTGACGCAAACACTTCAGTGGTTTTTTCTTTCACATCTCTCATCTTATTATCAATGAAACGACAAAACTGTCACTAGTTCAACATTCACTGTACAGCTTTTTCCATTTCTATTTGAGTATCAGCTAAACCCTCTAAAATTATTTCATATTCAACACATTCATAACACCTAATTAACAACAGTCTGTCAACCAGCTTGCACTCAACAGTGAATAGTGAAATAACGAAGTTTTGAGGAGCCTTAAGAAATATTGGTGCCGCATTTAAACAGTTAAGTTTAAAACAATGAACGACGTCACTTTCGATTGGCATTTCTTAGTATTGAAACTTTACCGAAATTGACATTTACAACGGACTCATCTTTGAAATCGGGGGTCACATAATCACGTATACGCAATGCTGTTAATTGACAAGTGCATTGTTGTAACCTCTTGTGAAATTACCCATGTTTTTTTTAAAATGAAAACGATGAAATAAATACGAAAAACTATATTCTTATATTCTACCAACAAAGTGACATCAGTCATTACGTAAACAATCATCAATGTGATATGCAGTTCCATGAAACAATCTTCAATTTATTGAAATGATTAACAAAATAGAAAGTGTGTTTACTAAACTACAAAATGAAAAGAACAAAGTCAACTTGATGAAAACAAGTGATACTATGTTTGTGGGGATTACGGATGAACTCTATTCCTTCTGTAGAACCATAGCCAAAGGCCACAGACAATGCATACAATAAGGAAAGACATAACTAATGGCACGACGATGTACACGTATTGCAGTATTTTTTTTCCCTCCGTGTCTTCAGTTGTCTCGGTAGTCATGTTCTGAAATGAACGAAATGGTATAATGATTACAAAATGTCAAACGTTTACCAAAACTGATTCAGTGCTTCCACCAGTCTTATTCAAATCAGTTTCAGTAGTTGCTAAAGGTGTTGGTTCAGTAACAACGTTGACAGTCGAGCTCTTTGTAAGAAAGAAACAGTGGAATTACAATTGAATATCAAATATTTCATCATTCATTATACACCTTTGTTATTATAGATTTCAGAAGTGAATTTACATTTACATAATATGATCAATGAATATTGTATTGGGATATCTGCTACTGATTTGACTGCCAATGTGATGAGCACACACATTATCGTACGATTTACTGACAACAGTTGTGTGTGATGAAATTTGTTTCCCGGATGGTTCACCATATCTCAGTGTAAATAATTAATAATAAAGCAATAACTGACGGCTTAATTGAAGCGATCCATACAGAACACAAATTTTCCAACAGGGTGTCAGGAATATGTGTTCTGAATTTCAACAATGGGTGTCCACGAACTTTCACTTTACAAGCATGATGCAGAATTTATAACAGATTATGTTTCATCATTCAACTGATCTCATCGGCATTTTGTAACAATTCACACGTACAGGCGGTTTCATATTGCACATCGAGAATCACTACACATTCTATGATTCGAAGATTCAACGTTTTTTAAACATAAGTGTTAAACGACGCTTTTATTAATTGTCCAATGTCCAAATGGAAACATAGCATCGTACTCATATCTGATTAAACGTCATCAACGTATACAATACTCTACTTATTTGCAACAAGAAAATGTTCATCTGAGTAAATGGATTTACAATGTAGAATATGGTAATATTGAAAACAAAATGTGAAGTATATCAATTACTTACTTTAACCTTGCAACCATTTACTTTGAATTCATGAATATCCTTATCATTGCTGGCAATGCACATATTGACTGTTTCACACAAAATGCACGTTGTATTTGATGTTGTTGCGTCTTCACATGATTTAATCGAATTGTATTTCGGACAATCTTCAGTGCAAAGAATGATGCGGTTGCATAACAAGTTATCAAACAATAGATAAGTGAATTAGAGAAAAAAATTTAACTCGATGAAATAATTATGATTTTGAATTTAGGCGACTATTCCATTCACTAGGAATTTGTCATCACCTCGCGCAATGAAAAATTCCGCACACTTTCATTGACATCCATATTTCACTACAACATTTTGGCTTCGAATGAAAATACATCCATAATGAATATTATTTTTTGAACGAAAATTAATCTCGATCTGAACATTACATTATGGAATGATTCTCTTAGTTGTCGAGGTGGTATTTTATTGGCCTACCACATGATGAACTGAAAATTGTTTTTGATTGTCTCGGAGTTAAATACAATTACAAGAAATTTTTCCGCGATTTTAATAACTCAGGAAAAATCAATATCACATGTAGCAAGTTGAAAAACTCTGGACAGTTCAAAGTCAATGCACAATCACCTTACTGACATATATTATCTCATCTATCGTTTTTAAACATTATATACGCTAAGTGAATTTTATCCACGTGAGGACGTGAAGGCGATCCATCCTTCATCATTTCAAAAAATCAACAGAGAATCCACGTATATAGTAATGACATTTGATACTAGTAGCTAAATTTCATTTAGTTATTTACTGAAATTGCACACGAAATGTTCAATTTTTTGAAACAAGATTGATGCATTCAACTGTGAAAATAGTCATTTCTGATTCAATAAGGTTTAACATACTCTCGAGGGGTTCATATTGCACTAACGTTCCACTTTGGATCCATTTTTCGGAAACGTATGTTTCAGTTACTTTCACATCTTGTAAAAATAATTTTAAAGAGGAAAACAAATAAACGCAGATGAATTCAGTGGTTCACTGTTCAAAAGACCTGATCACAACACGCGGTTTTCTCGGGAATAGTTTGCACCTTGATTTATTATCACATAAGATACTAAGACGTCGCATCAAGGTGAGTAATCACATTATCCACGTTGAATTTTTAATAGGTAGTATTGTTTAGATAATGAGTTTACCACAAGCACTCAGATTTTATTTCTAACGTTTTTCATAAACACTTGAATGACACTCCTACTAATCCGATTTCACCCATAACAACTGAATACTACAGACTGTACGAAAGATATGTTAGATCACTATGAGAGAATACAGCGAATTTCTGTATTGACTTGGTGATCAAAGGGCACATAAAGAAGTAAATAGTAGGCTTACACATGAATGCTTGTGCAGGCTGGTGTAAATCAGAATGTAAATAACATTAACTACCTTTTGCTCCGCAGCGAATCAACCCTAAAATTTTTGATGTTTTCTTGTTTTCGCCAGTTACCTTAGGAACCTGAAATAAAAAGAAACGGAAGTCTGGGTAAAGATTTGTCAGCACACAACAACCTTTATCAAAATAAATCAATCAGTAAAGGAATGTGTCGTCATTCACATCTTTTTACACAAAGACGATTGATAACACAGTAGGCATACTGATCTCAGTTTCCTCAGTAGTGTACCTAATCTAGTCTACGAGGATAATCTGATTCCCTTCAGTTGACAACTTCACTGATATCCGATGAACGATCTATCTATCATGCAATGATACGCTACACTGTCAGATGAATATTTATGTCACTTAACGGAAATGTGAATGTGAATGACTGCAATGCTGATGCACGTGAATTTGTTGTCATATGAAGGAGTTGTGTTAATGTGCTCACTTCCATTCACCACCTTACACACAATTCATGATTATCTCGAAGCAATCATAATGGATCCAGTTTAACACAAATGAAATCTTTTATCTCACATGCTCTTTTTAGTTACCACACATCTGTTGTATTTCAAATTTGTGGAGTACTAAATGCAGACATTCGAACAAGTACACAATGAGAGACGATCAAAGTTTTAACAATTTCTCTCGCAGATTATTTGACAATGAAATTTTCAATTAGCTGAACTTCAGATGACATAGGCTGGACAGAAAATGACTGTGTGGGAAAGTACTATAAAATACACTGTTTGTTCTTAATCGGCTCAAATATGTGAGATTGCCTATCAATAACACCTCCCTTCCCATATTTTATTGTTTTAGAAATGTGCTAGAATAAAGTATGTCATTACGGAGTTAATAATAGATTCGTATAGTCTGTGTGCACGTTAAAAAAACGTTGATATCCTTCTATCGTGTTCAATTTATGTTGATGCATTCGACAATGTTGATTTGCGCAAAGTAAGATAATAATCTGAAATACATAAAACAATACTACATTACTATTTAATTGTGCAACTCACGTTCTCAAAATAGACTGATATCTTCCCATTCGGATGTATCATATTAGTTATATTGAATGCAGGAACTACAAGCAGAAGATTATCGTTATTTAGAATTTGAGGTATTAGTGAATAGCATGTCATTGTCGGATGCGAAAATGGAAGAACCTTCGTGCAAAGTGATCAGTTTTGGGCAGGTATTTTCTTCGTTATCTCAAATGTTTTCTTTGGTGGAACTCGTAATAAATTTAATCTATTGAACCTCGTGTAAATGTATCAAACATCCATCCTTTCAAAATAAATATCAGATAACTAGGTTCCGAAATTGTATTACAATAAATCGACCCTTATTACACATGACATTCGACATGGTTTGTTTGTTTACAAATAGAACATGATAACTTCGTCATCTATGCAACGCATTCGTTCATCGGCATTCAGTAACGATGAAAAATGAATAGCATCAAATTATTCGTCTTGGTGATTTCTTTATTTGAATGAATAATTTTTACGAATGACCGTGTTATGAGTAACACAAATTTACGTATTTCAGAATAAAGACTTCTGATCAAGCAGCATCGAAGCCTGTAGACAAAGATGTATCTCTGCATTCGTTTATCCACAAGTAAAATGTGCTTATGACTTCATTTACTCATACGAATCTATTTATTGCACGTCAAAGCCAGTATGCTCCTGATTATGTCAACTGTTTTCCAGGTCTCAATTAATGTGTTCAAACAATCGATGGATTCAACATGTAATTCCTACTTCCTAATTTTCTGAGATGATTACACATTATTACCGCTGTCAGTTTTTGAAAAGAATTCAGTGATGTGAAATGAACAGAAAATGTGTAAGCAAGTACTACGAATGATGGTGTAGGTGTTTAAATATTTCATGTGTAATCGAAAACCATTTTATGGATACATACTTTTATCATCGAGTTTTTCGTAATAAGACGTTCTGACGGCTAATAATTCATCTGAAATGATGAAAGTAAAAATATTTATGTTTTTATATATATGTATAATGAATATCCATAGAGAATGAGTTTGGACACGAGTTATCATTTTCCTTTCAAGATTTAAGTAAACCGGATCAACTAAGTGAGAGTTGCAAGGAGACGTATCATTATTTCAACGATATGATGAATGTTTCAATCCAAGTATCTGAGAAGAATATTCTACTTTCAAAATCTTAATTTTAAAACCTTGATACAATCTAATACATCGGCAATATCTAAACGACGATACACATATCAAATCTTTTTCTGAGATTGCGTTATTCCGATCGAACAGTGTTCCATCAATTGAACTAATTATGACTCAGAAATTCTACATTCATGTCAATAAATGCAATAAGTGAACAAAATGAGTGAACTTCATTTCGATGTTCTAGTTGTTCCGGGTCGAATCAATAATGTTATACCAGTGCACTGTTTACGGTAATCGTTTATCATGTCCTTATGATAATTAATATACTTGGTGACTGTTTTAGATCCATACGAACGTGATAGTTGAAAATGTGATGAATATACACAATGGTTTACAGATAGTGTCTAAGAGACATTAATTCTACATGAAGTAGGTTAAAGAAAAAATTTGGACGTCATCAAATGTAATTTGGTAGTCCATGTGATTTAATAATCCAAAAAAGAATTTCTCATACAACATTGTTTATTGTTGTAAATGTGCTCAGTTGGATTCGTTCGATTTATTATTTCTAAGCAATCAATTTGCGTTTATTTCAAAGTGAACCATCATTTTCACTTGACATTAATGAATATGTGTTGTGAACACATTTGGAGCATCGAATCAGGCAAGCAAACTAATCACTGTATACTGGTCGGCTTTGAAAATATACCCAGGTCAAATATTGATTCATTTATGCAAAATAAAAGTGAAAACAGAAAGACAAAACAAATTATCACCGAACAATAGTTGTACTCACGATGATCCGAAATTTGTGATGACATAAAATAATGTTTTTTCATAAAATTATCAATTTCTCCCAAGTGCTTTTCATCGAACATATAAATTGTACCTGTGTTTATCAAATAAAAACATGGAATTTAATTGACAATCTGTGGAGAATGAATTAACGACTTTTAGATTAACTGGAGACAAAATGAGTTTCATGAACCGTAAGTAAATTTCCTTATGGCTTTAATCTGTTTACAACTTGAACAAAATAAAAAATCAGTAGACGCTTTGAATACTGGAAACAGAATAATACTGATTTTTTGAAGAATTTCAAGCAACATTGGTCCACGGAATGAAATGGGAATAAACAAAACTCGGTAACAATTTTAATTCCATGAAAATGATTCGCTTACCAGAAGTGAATATTGCGAATACGATGACTTTAACACCGTAAAACTTAAACGGGAATCTTGGAGCGATTTCCTGATTATACGCAAACATATATTAAAACATCGATTGCAAAATTTAGTCAACTCACTTTGAAATTAATAATTGTTTCAAAGCTGCCTTTAATAACTGGAGGTGGCTGATTAGACCGAATTGTCTGGGAGTAGTAATAGTGATGAGACTGAATATGTGTATTGGAACCTGACTGATTACTTACATATTTATATGCGTCATTCTCAAAAATCAGTTTTCTAAAATGCCCCAATTCAGGTTTTGTGCAAATGTCTTGGCATTCGAAGAATTTGCAAATTAATACGATGATAGAATAGAGCAGTGTAAACTGGCCGGTTGAAAAGCTATGCCTGGAATGGCTCAGATAAAAATAGACAGACTTATTTCATTGAAACAAATTAAAATTCATATAACACACTCATTTGCTTTAACTGTAAAGTCAACACTCACCTCATCTTCTTGTTCACAACGTTAATAATTGTTGTTGGACCTTGTCGTGTTTATATCAATTTTTTAAGTGTTTGTTTGTTCCTTTCTTATTCGACGATCCAAAGTGACCATTGGAAACATCACGTTTCATAAAATCATATGATCATTGTTGACCACTCATTGTAATGCAATATACTTCTAGTTGTTGTACTCTAAAGGCTGACACTTATTCACCGTTGGTTGAAATTCCAAGGTTTCTATTGGTAAAAATTATATTGGATATGATAAGTAATAGTTTAAACTGAATGAGGGGTTTTTAATGTTGATCGAAATGTGTGCTCGTATTTTCACGAACAAACATTTTGTTAATTGTCATGATTTGTGATTTGTTTAACATTGGTGCATTGCTTTGATTTGATAGGTTAAAATCAAAGTAACAAAACATGTCTTGATTAGATATCTCAATTTGGGTTTTTACATCTGAATTTATGTTTGATAAAATAAATCCTGTCAGACGATACTATCGTCGTTGGATGTGGGATTGTAACTTCCGAACAGTCACAAAAAGCCTATTTGACCGGCACATTGTACAGTTGGCTCTGAATAGATTAAGCAATCTAAATAGACAAAACCTTTCTTATTTGTCTGGTAGGAGTGGACCTAAATGTGTTCACGCTAAACGTAATGAGTCAGTTACTGTCGAATGATTAACAGTCTACACTTTTGTTAATGAATAATAATTTCAGCGGAAGAAGTCTAACATTTTCATGATTTGGTAGTAATTGCAGAATGTAATTCATGGCAGTGTGATGATGAATTCCACACTGCAAAAAGATGTCGACAGTAACCAAAATATTGCTTCCACGAGTATCACATTCTGTGGTCGAATAAACGATGTTTGTGTGGTGATTTTCCGGAATCATGAACATCAGAATTGTTTTCAGTTATACATTAAATTGTCCCACTAATATCTGGCCTATTATCAAATTATTTTTATTATTCATTATCATCACATGTAGTCGCATTTTTTTAGGTAATTATGTAGCTTATTCATTAAGGCTTGATAAAAGTTCACTTAGGTGTTTGTTAGTTCAGTTCACTGTATCCACGGAAGCAATAGTTATTGGAATAGTGAGCTAATCCCATGAAATCACTGTCAATTTCTCATAAGACAATTCTATAATAATGTAAATGGAAACATGAAGTTCTTCATATGAACACCTTGAGTAAATATTTCAAGGTTAAAAAAATATATTCAGTATTATGTAGCTATCGACAGTAACCAAAATATTGCTTCCACGAGTTTCACATTCTGTTTTTAGGTGATTTTGCGGAATCATGATCATCAGAATTGCTTTCAGTTATACATTAAATTGTCCCACTAATATCTGGCGTATTATCAATTTATTATTATTCATCATCATTACATATAGTCGCAGTATTTTTAGGTAATTATGTAGCTTATTCACTAGGGTTTGAATAAAGTTCACTTGAGTGTTTGTTCAGTTCATTGTATCCACGAAAGCAATAGTTATTAGAATGATGAGCTAATCCCATGAAATCACTGTCAGTTTCTCATAAGACAGTTCTATTTTAATGTCGAAGGAAACAAAGAGTTCTTCATATGAACACCTTGAGTAAATATTACAAGGTTAATAAAATGTATTCAGTATTATGTAGCTTATTTACTGATTGTTTTTCATAAGGCTATTCTGCGTTAGTGTCACGGAACCTAATGTTTTTCATATGAACTGCATTCGCAAACGTTTCAAGGTTGAAAAACACTTAAGTCAATATCACCTAAATGTTATTGAGTATGAACGGAGTTCATGTTGAGTAAGGAAGAATATAGCGATTAATACGTTTATTTCAGAATTAACATAAAAAAACAGATAATGGACATCGATGAATGCAAAATTTATCACACCCAATTGTCAAAACTAAACCAGCTGAACTTATCGTTTACTATTCACGCATGACTACAGTACAAATTGTCTCTATTCAATCGTTAAGGTTTCCTTATTGTGAGTGTCGCCTCCAGGAAATCCGTATTATTTCGTTTATTTAAGTGAGCATTGTTTGGGGTATGCTTCACAGCTCTTGCTTATTCAGTAATAACTGATCTTCTACATATCAATGAAATGGGCTATATGCCATTGTAGTTTTTGACAATAATTTTGTGCCATCGAAGATACATTTGTTAGGTACAAGAATGTCATTATTTATGTTTTTATTTAACACCTTGCAATATGACAACTGAACGATTTGTTACATTATCACCTTTCAATTATGGTTGCTGCTGACGAATAAAGAACAATTTTACACACTGAATGACGTTTTTATTAGGATGTACTCATTGTCAGATGTGATTTGTGTTAAAACGCATTTTGTCACTGTAGCTTCTTTTCCCAATTACCGTCTGTGACAACCTCATATTGATTCCCGGCCACTGTGGTGGTCAAGAGAGTAATTTTTAAAATTCACGGCGGATGGGTAGTGAGAAGATTGGAATATCCAATTCCATATACATTCTCAAGAGCCGAACTCCAAATAAATATGGAGAGATAAACACGGGATCAGTCAGCCTATCCCGTAGAAGCGAAACTCGTTGAAAATTGCTGATCATAAATAGTAATTCAATCCATTTAAAGTCTGCCCTGGGATTTATTAGGTCTTCATTTAGAAGAGCTATGACATCGCATGATGAAAACCAAGAACCTTCGGAATCCACGAGGCTGATGCTTCTTCCGACATTCAGGCGACCGTTAATTCAGGTTCATGGAATGTTCATACGATGTAGGAGACCAGAACAGTCATCCGAATTGCAGACCAAGCGAAAAGAGAGCTAAAAGAGAGCTGCTGTTATACTCCTGTCATGTAGAACAAAATGCTCCACATACACAAGCAGTTGCACTGATGCTTTCCTTACAAGCTCAATAAGCACCTATGGGAATCTCATTGACCAAAACATCAAAGCCTCCTTCAAAAGAAAGAAAGAGAGCGTTACAATGTACTACATCTCATGCTATGAGGCTACCATCGATCACAATGAAGAATGTTTTGACTAATTATAAGATAGGTAGAAGTCAATCGTTGAGAAATGCCTACGAATGACTTGACCATTCTGAAGAGCTTCTCAAATGTCTAGTTTGAATTGAACAACAGCGCGTATGAAGACATTGTAGTGTGGCGTTGTCCTGCGGTTTACTGTCATCACCACTGGAAGAAGACTACGTGCCAGTTAACCGATAAGACCCTCCGTAAACGAAGTGTCAGAAGGCAGTTGATAGCTGTAGCCGAGATGTTTGTGTTGGCGATCTCGTGGTATTGAAAGAATACCAAGATCGTACCAGGCTACAAGTGAGGTTACTGAACGTGTCCGAATTCACGCAAGGTCACAATCAAAGGAAGGATTAATGTATATATTTTGGTTCAGTTAAACAAACAAGTAAGTTAATACAATCCATGTTAAAATGGTAACAAGGATAATTGTTTCCATTACACCAATCGCGTTCTATTGAAGAAAGAAGGTAACTACAACATCATGGGAGGACATAGACTAGGAGAAAACTAAACGAAAATGGCGAGAGATTCACAAACTTTTGTGCCATCAATAAACTGGTCACAGGCGGCACTATATTTCTACATAAGCTTAATTACAAAGCCATATGGATTTCAACACTACACAGAACCCACTTGACCAAATATGCATCAACAAGACTTTCAGGAGGACTATGGAGGATGTGAAAACCATGCGACGAGCTGATATAGCGTCAGAGAATCATCTGATGGTGGCCAAGATGAAACTAAATCTCAAGAAAAATTGGATACGGAAGCGGACAACATAATAAATGTTTAATGAGGCATTTCTTCCAGATACCGACAAACTTAAGAAATTCAGGATAGTCCTCAGCAATAAATTCCAGGCCTTTCACTTTGTTCTAAACACAGAGAAAACAGCTTTATAGAACATCTGAAATGGGGTGAAGGAAGCATTCTTTTCAACGTGTCTCGAGCTTCCTGGCAACAACAAGCGCTTATCAAGGAATGGATCACTGTTGCTACACTAGGTAGGATTCAAGAAAGTAGGAACAAGAAGGCAGCAATCAATATCAGTCGTACAAGAGCGAAGAAATTCAAGGCAAAATTAGAATACACAGAGCCAAACAAGCAAGTAAAGAGAAGTCTCAGAGTCTACAAACGAAATTATGTAAAAGATCTATCAATGACGGCGGAGAAGGCTTCAAGAGAATGAAACACGAGTCCATTGCATGATAAAACTAAGAAGCTCGCTAGAAATTATCGTCAACCAAAACAACCAGAGGAAAGTGAAAAACGCAATGTATCCAACAACATTAGACAACAGAGAAACAGGTGAGTAGAGAATTTTGAGGAACTTTTTAATTGATTTGTCTCACTGAACTCACTCGATATTGAACAGCGCAGACAAACCTCACAATCAATTTTAGTCCACCAACAATTGAAAAGATCAACATATTTGCAACCGTTGAACAACTGGAACTCAAAACTATTGTCAACCGACACCAAGGCCAGGATTTTTAATACAAATGTAAAAACACTTCTACTATATGGTGCGTAAAACTGCAGAACTACGCAAGCCATCATACAGAAGATACAAGTATTCATTAACAGTTTTCCGCGCAAAATACTTCGAATCAGCTGATCCGCAACAACCTTTTATGGGAGAAAACAAACCAGAATCCAACGAAGAAAGAAGCCGTTGAAGTTGATTGGACATACATTGAGGGAAGCATACAATTTCGTGACAATGCTAACCTTCACTTGAACTCTTCAAGGTAGGCCATATAACACAGTAAAAAAGGAAACAAAGACAGACATGGCATTTATCGTGGATTCTTTATTTTAATGGCTTCGGAAACATGGATCCTCCTAAATTTGAATTATTATTCAAGCGGCAGTTGTTAGCATATACACAGCTTACATCCAATACTCAACCAAACAGTGTTATCCTACTACTGCACCATCAGTTGATGGTATCACTAACAATATCTACGAGTTTCATTTCAATCCGGAATCCAATGTCACGGTTGGTATGTGGTT